GAGGGCTGTTTTCACCCCGAAGAACCGAAATTGGGTCGATAAAAAAAATTGCCCGATACTTCTCTCGAGGTCCCCTACAAACCCACAAAGTTAAAAAAAAATCGGACATTTCGGGTTACCGAAGTTCCCTTGTAAGTAGATTCGAGATTAAGGTTTCATTATTTAATGATACACAACTAGCAAGCCTTAAGCTCCATTGCATGTACTATACAACAGTTTTTATGAAAAAGATTATACACTTATCATTTTGGTGGTATTTGTAATTTAATTCAACCACTTCAAAAACTTTGTGCAACATATTTCAAAATAAGTAATTGTACGGTTAGTTAGCAGCATTGCTGTGATATTCAAGAGTTCTATGTATAAGTATAGGTCGTTTGAAGTTTTGTTAAAAAGCTATAAAATAATAATACGAAATACGAAGAGAATGGTAACGGATGTGGGGTTATGATACAAACTAGGAATAGAGCAGCGGTATGTATGTATAATACATATGTATAATCTGTTTATACGAGATGTGTTTACGATCTGAGGTCGTTGAATGTGTCGAATGTAGAGGAGAAGGTCTAAATATCGGCTACGGTTTAAATATGGGCCAGTTGATGTATGGAATCATGTTAGGTGCTTCATTCTGTTGAAAATAGAATGAAACTACGAGTTATGAACAAAATAAGTGTTGTGGAGGAGATACTGACCCACATATATTTATTTTATTTACGTGTTGTGCTGCAAAACGTGTCATTTCTCTTATTTCGCTATTTGAAAACATTTTTCAGGTAAGTTTGTTTTATTTTTTCAGCAATAATCTATTAAACTAAGAGCTAATTACCTAAGAGTACTACATTGCTGACATTGTAAGCTTCTTTTTAGTCTAAGTTTTGTAATGAATATCGTCGCGTAGTAATGAATACCATCGCTCTAAGCGTTCTTGACCAAATCATCTAAATATGTATGGGCTACAAAGCTGGTAGCTTTATAATATCGGCTAATATGGGCTAGCCAATATTAAAATTCGATTACTATGAGAATGGTAATAAGAAAAATACCAAAACATTAAAAAGCATTTAAGTTTAAGTTTATCTACATTTTGAACATGTTTTTAAATATTCCAACTTGAAAATATGCAGTTCTCACTTTTCATTTCAATTTTTTTGCGAGTGGCCCATATTTAGACCATTTTTCTAAAAATGATGATTTTCCCTTTTATTGTAAATATATAATTTGCAACATACATTACTTTTGTTCAGCTTATTTTGATTTCATATCCTGTAATAAACATGTTATTGATAGATATTCAAGTTTTATATCTTAAAAATCATCTACTGGTTTGACAATAAATCCTGAAATAAAAGTGCTAATCCATATTTTAGATCATCTCTTTTAAATTTTACCAGTGCCATTCTTGTAATAATAGTAACCGCACAACCGTTACCATTCCCTACGTATTTCGTATTTTTGTTATTACTTTTTAACAATGCTTCAAACGACCTATGCTTATATCACGTTCTGTTTCTTACTTATACTCATAAAACATGTGGACAAAGTTTCATTGGAAAAAGACTGGGACATATTGTTTGCAAGATGGTAAAAAGTGAAGAAAATCACTTTGTCCATTGATATAAAATCATCTTTGCATTGATTTTGTCCACCACCTATGCCATTTATGTTTATTATTTTTTGTTGGTGGATAAAATCAGTGTAAAGGTGATTATATTAATATATTAAGTGACAAAACGATTTTCTTTTCTCCTGAAAAATTCTGTTTTTGCAATTTCGCAACTTTACTATTGAAATAATATATCTTTCTTAATTATAGTATATACATATGTATACGTATACAGGGCGGGGCATTTAAATGGGCATTTAAATAAATATCTCCGTTATTGTTGGTCGTATGAAAAAACTCCAAAGGACAAAGTTATACTGTTTCAAGGGGTACATATGATGATGGAAGAAATTTTGTCCAAAGTCATTTTTTTTACGAGATTTCAAGGTTATCGGTATTTTTTTAAATAGGGCCATGTATTTTTTTGTTCATATTCTTATGGAGGGTAGAATGATAAATTCAACCATCTGAATAATGTATCGTTCAGCTCATCTGAACTCAAGATATTTACTATCTTTACTATATTAATACTATAATATATATTTCTTTTTATCGATCTTCGAGCAACTTTTCGAAAATTAAATTCGTTTAATTGGATACCTGTAGCCTAAGTCTGTGATAAGAGCCTCGACTGGAATAATGATGAGTATTGGTAGTTTTTCAACAAGAATCTTCGGATGTGATCTTTCCAGGCATTGTTCCTCCATGTCCCATCTGGCACCTTCCAAATATAGTCCACTCACGTAACAACCCTGAATAATTAATATTATGCGTTGGTTGTTGTGTCGTAAACAAAGGAATTATCAGAATTGCACAGTAAATACACATAAGTGCATTGCACAAAACGATAACTTTATTTAAATATTTATAATTATAACATACAGAAGAGCATTGCTATAAACCGCGTTGGTAACAGTAACAGTTGAAAAGTCAATAAACTGAAGAGAGCGTTACCGATTACTCTGAATATAACTAACAGGAATATTATCCCGGTATTCGTCACCGCCAATAGACCAGTTTCAGGGTGGCCTCACATGAAGGCCCACACCTCAGGACATTGGGCCCTAAAGTAGAAGTACTCGAAACCTTCACCTGCGCCGCCAAATTTATTACCTAAACTCAAGAGTAAACGTCTGCGCATCTTACCCTCGCGACTTCATTGTTCATAAATATAAACTCTGCTGTTTGCCTGATGCGCCATAGAAAGTACAAACGAAAACACATTCTTAGAATTTTTCACCTTCCACTTCTTTTTACCTTTTCTAAAAGGAAAAGACACTCCCACACCGTCCAATCTGAAATTAGTTGCAACCACCCTTCTCCGAACATCTAATCGATAAGATTTGAGTCTAGTTTTCCTCGATAACACACCATCAGCGACGAGCAGACACAAATCGGCTTTCGTAAGGTACACAACACAAATACCAAATAGCTCTCGTGAAACAACTGCAGTCCTACTGTTACATCCTCAAATATTTTCCTTCTTAGCCTTAGTTTTATCTATATTTACAACGAGTCACCCACTTTCACCATTACTCACACTGGACTCTTCACCTTCCAACTCTCCTACATAGTCATAACCCAAAGTTCATCTTCTCTAAACCCTTAAATAGTCCTATTTTCCCCATTTCCGCATTCATTCTCTGTTTTACCACACGCACGTCACGTAACGTTAAACCTCTGTCAAATAAAGTTCTGTTTCTACGCAACGACGATCCTTAAGTGTTTAAATTCAGTGTTACCCCAATATCTGCTCCCGAGTTTTGAGGAATTGGAGCAAACCGGGTATCACACTACGATACATTTGTAGAATAAGCATAGAGTTATACTTATACATATTAAATATATTTAGTATAAAATCCAGGGTGTATTTTACTATCCAACAATTCAAACATACAGTCCATTTGTACTTTGAAAGACTTCATTTATCTCGTGATAAGTTCGAAGCGCGTCATTTATTCGTCGCGAAAACACTACACGTCAAAGCTGTGACGCACAACATTGGTAGATGACTAATTGTTGGTTACCTGGTCAGGTTTTTCTTCCATTTTCTCAGGCATAGTGAATCTCGATACCGCTGTATATGTGAGAGAGCGATCAAGGGACCAGTTGTTTCTGCAGCAAGCCATTTGCATGAGAGCTGCTAAATAGGTTTCTGGGATGTGTAGACCAGCCAGCCATAGGACTATTGGTTCGGATGCAGAAGACTATGAGTTTTCAAGAAAAGATGAGAAATAATAAAAATATTATGCTAAGATTTTCTGTAATTTAATTTAGAAATATGATGATGAGTTTTTTAAAATTTAATTTAGAAATATAACAATTAGTTTTTCTTTAATTAAATTTAGAATGTATAGTAATAAGTTTTTCTTTAATTTTGGCGTGAAATCGTTTTATCCGGGCATTGAAATCTCTTCAAATAAATTTGGAATTCAGACTTGAGGAATTGTTACGGAGCAAAATATCCAACTTAGAATTTATCATTTAGAACAGAAAAAAGTTTCGTATTAATGATTCTAGTAACGTCTTACCCAGCTAGCGTACTGTTGTATCCTCTTCTCAAAATGCTCCATCCATCCAGTCAGAGTTTTTCTCGTGTTTGGCGCTAGTTTGGCCCATTCTTTCGGTAACATACCATTATACAACGCTGCAGATATATTTTTAAGAGTCATACCCATCCCGATTTTTCCAGCAATTGCCTAATATTATGTGAAACTCACTCACAAAAATTTGTCAAAGTATTTTTCATTTTATTTATTATACGATAATAATAAAGGATAGATAAGTACTTTCCTTAACTGCGTTAGAGTCTTTCTCATCATTCTAATCAATTTATTGAACCTCTCCAATTCTTGGAAAAGAACAATTGCAGTCGGTGTCACGGCTATTCCAAAAGTCTTCTTCACTTTAATGAGATCGTACCCGAGAGGAACTTTGCCCAGTTTAACCTTCGCGATGTTATCGATAAATTCGTCCTTGCTTATTCCACTTCCACCAGCCTCTAAAATTTTACACAGTACTTTACTGTAGGAATGTTTACAAGAAAACTGACAAACATTCAATGGAATATTTGACATTTTTAGGAATGTTTACAAAGCATCTCCAACACAACCACACATTATATGCCAACTTGCTCTCGCTCAATCACCACTCACAAACTATTTTGTGCTTTGGTACTAAAATTGGAAAAATTGCACGAAATGGAGTTAGCCACATTTGAAATATTCTAACTGTTGGATTATTTCTAACAACACCCTATGGAAATAATCAAGTGAGGACAAAAATGTCTCCGGGTTATTTTAAACAAAGGCACTAAGACTTCCACCAGATGCATCTGGTGTCCGTCTTCGAGTCACTCACTGCACAATGCCATACCATAGTGTAAACAGTTTCTAGGTATAAGGGGACCCCAACTTTCTTTTGGGTGTCCAGAAACAGTCCTTCAGAAGATTCAATAGAGTAAAGACGTTTCCTCTGAGACCGTAAATAAAATCGTATATTACAAAGATAAAAGACTATTTTATTCCACAACCCATTTCCAATACTAACAAAGATGAAACGTAACCCTTGAATTTTAAGGAAACTTTGTAAGTCGAGAAATGAATCGAAAGATTGTACAACTATAGAGGCTCAATATTTTATGAGAATCGCAACGATTGGGAAATAGAAATTGGTAAAGGGGATATATTGATTAGTCGTTTTAAACCAGCCACGTGTCGTGATCACCAGTTTACGGCTGGAGTTCCACAAGATTGCTCCACATTTCTTTCGCTGTTTGAGTGAAGTAGCCAATTTCGGCGTTTGGATGCAGCCAAAGACCTCTGAACTGTTCACCAGAGAAAGTTCCTCGATGAATTGGAGGTAATCGTCACGCTCCCCTTCTGGCGGAACCACGTAATCTACGTGCTCGTCGTGATAAAAATGGAAGGGTTGAAAGCTGTCGAACAAAAAGTCACCGAAGTACTCGTCCATGTAGGTTTCCGATACTCGGCGATCGTAGCTGTCTATTACTCGTCCACCGTACATTACCTGAATTCATATTTTTACGTAGAATAAAACATCGTTGAAAATCAAATCAAAGAGGATTTAGAATGGTTTTTCGTTAGCGAATCACTAATATTTATCTTGTAGAATTGACGATGGTAGAAAGTAAAGTAGAAAGGAATCTAGAGTGCTCTTCGATTTACAATTAATGAAATTTATTTGGGAAAGTAAAGCTGGAGGTAGTTCACGAGTGATCTCCGACTGAAAATTAATCTAATTTTCTTTCAGAAAGTAAAGCAAAAGGGTGTTTAGAGAGAATTATTCGAATTTACTTGAGAAAGTAAAGTAGAAACGAGTTTAGAGTGCTCTTCGACTGAAAATCAATGGAATTTATTTGTCCTTCGATTTGAAATTTGAAAAAATAAAGTAGACTAATTTTGGAAGATTTAATTCAACAGCAAAAACTCATACTTCTCCTATGAGATACTTCAAGCTGTTCCATGGTAATCTAGTGTCATTCGCCGTAAGCGCTTTAGTCAAATATGTGTTCAGAATAATGGTGCACATGTTGAAATCCGATTCGTTGAAGTCATAATTTATATTACAGCCGATCTTGTCGTATCTCCTTCTCTTCTATTGATCATAATCGAAAGGATCAATACATCGTAACGTTGTAATTCTAATCAATCCTGCTCTGACTCACTTAAACGACTGCGTGATAGAAGGCCAATACATAAATTAAGTGTTTGTAAGTTGGATGTGCACAACTTTCGAGTATCTGTGGCCTCATTTTTAGATAAGTATTCTCGAGATTCAGCTTGAGGCCACTTGGAGGCTCGGTGACCACTAGAAATATTCAATTATTCAAATTACGAAAGAACCTTTTAAAGATTGTTGCAAGATTCCAATTGGAAAATTGGGAGAAGGATCGGTTGTGAGCCACAAACGGAAATCAGGATGAGACTTTCCAATGTTCTCCAATAATTTCTCCAATTCTCGGGTAAAACTTAACAGTAGATGACAATTTTGGAGCATCAGCCATTGTCCTCTGGACACATGTCGCGTCGCGTTCTCCTTTGATTGTTCAAAAGTGTTCGCGCTCACGACTGTTACCGGCCAAATTAATCTTGGGTAACTAGTTCAAATTTTTACTTTGCTCGAACGTTAGCAAACCTGCATCACGATGCGATTGACGACTTTGTTTTAGACTTGAGTGATCGATCGTGACTCGAAACTACGGGTGTCTCCTCGAACGGTTGGAGACTGTGTGTGTGTGTGTTGTTCATACGAGAGACTCCTTGCGAATGTATCTCGATTGCCGAATTTTTCTGGAGTCCGCCGTGACTCCCCCGCCAAGTGCAAGAAGGCACGCCGATTGGTTTTTCACGTACGCACAAATTACCAATCAACGTGTCACTTGAGTGGCACTCACCCTTCCATTGCGCCCTTAGCGCGCTTTTCCTTGGAAGGAGTGGGGCCCTACCTGCGGGTGCGTGGAATCTTTGCTGTCCTTCGGTGACGCGTCGGAAATTCCCGCCAGGTCAATCCTCGGCCGAGAGTGCCGTTATACGCACGTGTGGATTGACCCTTCAGGAATACCTGGTTTATGACACGTCTTCGGTTATTGAGGACGCGGAAAAGTCGAAATTCTAGGAGCTACGAAGCGTCTTTGTTCTCAAAAATAACCTTCTCGTGCGAGCGTGCCATAAACCCGGTCAACGAAGACCCCATGCGTTCCGTACCTGCGCGACGGAACATGCTCCCCCCGGTCAGAGGTGCTACCGATCAAAATATGTAGAACGCAAAACCACTCGAACGCTTGTGGTCCATTGATCGACCTTAGTGTCTTTATACGTGAATCCCTGGTCACCAACGCCTATGTTGAACCTTGGTCGGGAAGGGGTGTGTTTGTAAACGCCGTTGATGGTCCGTACGGTGACTGCTCGAATGATCCCGTCTGCACCCGATGCTAGAACAGTGGTGGGAGATTGTTCTCCTTGAGGACGACCACTGTTCCTTCCTTGATGTCGTGTGAGCCCATGGTCCATTTTTGCCGCACGTTCAGATGGTTGATGTACTCCTTGTACCATCTTGACCAGAAATCTCGTTTCACCTTCTGTATGTGCTGCCAATTTGATAAGCGATTGGCTGGTGTTTTGCTGAAATCAGTCTCGGGTATGCTCGTTAAAGAACCACCAATCAAAAAGTGATCCGGAGTCAGTGATCGTAACAAACAGAATTATAGAACGTAAACAATTCTTTACCAACAACGCGTTTCACGTGGGTTTGAAGGATTTCACGGCAGCCTCCCAAAGTTCTCCGAAATGAGGTGACAAGGCAGGTATGAAGTGCCACGTGACTTCCTTGTCCGTAAAGAATCTTCGTATCTTGTCGTCAAGTCGTTATTCGCGCCAACGAAATTTGTGCCGTTGTCGGAATAAATGTTGCGGCATAGTCCTCGTCGAGCGATGAAGCGTTTTAAGGCCGCGATGAAGGCCTCTGTGGTCATGTCGCTCACAACCTCTAGGTGAATCGCTTTCGTAGCGAGGCAAATAAATACGGCGATTGCGATTGCGTCGTTCCTTTACGTGGAATAGGCCGCAATAGTCTATTCCACTGTTGTGGAATGGTCGACTATCAGTGACGCGAGCTGCCGGTAAATTACCCATCACGTAGTCTACCGTAGGTGGATCCACTCGGAAGCATCTGACGCACTGTCGCACGATTTTACGCGTTGCATTTTTCCCGTCGATAGGCCAGTACGTTTGTCTAATGTAATTCAGGGTAGAGGTTATGCCTGCGTGTTGATTATTCATGTGCGAGTCTCGAATAATCAACGTGGTCAGATGGTGGTTTCGTGGTAAAAGTATCGGATGCTTTTGAGCGTAAGGCAGTGAGGAATTTTGAAGTCGTCCTCCGACGCGTAGAATTCCCTTGCTGTCTTTGTAGAAGCTTGCTCTTTGAATGTAATGTGGTTGCCGATGTGAGATTGTGGATATCCTGTTTAAATTCTATTGCCTGCACTATTTTGATGATGCGTATGGTTGCTTCTTGGATCTTTTGCACGGTGAGGGGTCCATCGGTTGGAAGCGCAAACAATAAGCTATGACTCGTTTTAGCTTTGTGGTCGAAGAGTACCGCGTTATGATGTCGTCCGTGTGTACTATGGTGGTGGCGAGACATGTGAGTTTCTTTCGCTCTGGCATGTCGGTTGTGATCGCGAACTTGGATTTTGGCCACTCCGATTCGACGGTTGAGAGCCACCTAGGTCCGCGTCGCCAGAGGTTGGTTTTGAGGAATTGTATGGGCGTCAGTCCTCGCGATAATAAGTCGGCCGGATTATCATGTGATGTCACGTGTCGCCATGTCGTTACGTCCGTCTTCGTCTGTATGTCGGATACGCGGTTTGCCACGAATGTTTTTAGTATGTTCGGTGGTGTGTGGATCCAATTTAAAACTATAGTAGAATCGGTCCAGAATGTCGTATTGCGGATGTCGTGTGTGATGGCTCCTCGGACGGTGGCATATAACGATGCCAGGAGCACCGCACCCATAATTCCGCGATTTCGCACAAAGAAGCTGCGTCCTGATGTGGCCTGCTCTGTTTATTGTTCGTATGTATAAACACGTTCCATACGCTCGTTCGCTCGCATCGCAGAAACCGTGCATATCGATGTGACAGACCGCTCGTTGAGTTACGTTGCGTGGAAATTCGATGTTGTTCAGCAGTTGCAGTTGGTTGACGAAGGTGGTCCATTCTGTGTAGAGATTGGCTGGGAGCGATTCATCCCAGTCGATCTTCAGTTACCATAGCCGTTGCATGATCATCTTCGCCGTAATAGTTACTGGGCCGAGGAGTCCCAACGGGTCAAAGATTTTGGCAATTGCTGATAGGATTGCTCGTTTTGTGATCTTCTGGCTGCTTGGCGGCTCGACCGTGTATAGAACCCTGTCCTTTAGTGCGTCCCATGATATGCCGAGCGTCTTCATGGTGGTCGGGTCGCCTAGGATCTTCGGGTGGATCTGCTCGTGGTCCAGTCCTGCGAGAAGCTGTGGTTCGTTCGAGGCCCATTGACGGATGTTCAGTCCTCCTCGTCTGAACAGGCTGTGGATTTCGATTCGTAGTTTTCTCGCCTTCTTGATTGTGTCAGCTCCGGTGAGCAAATCGTCGACATAGAGATCCCGTTTTACAATCGTTGAAGCGTTCGGGAATTGTTCCTTTTCGTCGTTCGCGAGCTGATATACGCATCTTATGGCGTGATATGGAGCCGCTGTCAAAGCAAACGTGACGGTGTTCAACTCGTAAGTAGACACGTTGTTTTTCTCGTCTCTCCATAAGACGCGCTGGAAGGCTCGATCCTCCGGTCGCACGTGGAATTGCCGATACATTTTCTCTATGTCGCCGGTCAAGACATAGACGTGCATCCTAAATCGCAGGAGCAGTGAAAATAGGTCACTCTGAATAGTGGGCCCGGTTAACAATGCGTCATTAAGGGATAATCCGCTGCTCGATTTAGCGGAGCCGTCGTATTTTTAAAGACCGCGTGGTGAGGCAGGTAGAAACCCGGTGCATCGATTTCTTTTACCTGTCTCATATGCCCTAGCTTGAGGTATTCCTTAATTGCGCGACGGAACAACACAGGTATCTCTAATAACGCTACTGCAGTCTAAAAGATTACAAAATCCAAAGGAATATAAATTTGATATCGGTTAAATTAAAATGTGAATGATTAAATGTCAAAAAATTACTATTTAATTAAGGGATTAGACCATCTATTAGGCCTGATCATGATAGCTAACTTCAGCATTCTTTTTTCTTTTTTTTTTTTCTGAAGAAAATAATTAACTCAATCGAAATTTTTTCATAAGATTTTCACTATTTTACTCTTAAAGAATATAAAAGTATTTGTTCATTTAATTTCTTTATAAAATGGCGACGCTACAGCCGCATCGCTGAACCTCTATTTTGGACGAACTGCTGCCACACTTACAATTAGAACAAAATATAAAAAATTTTCATAATCTACGTACCACTTACTAAAGCAGTATATAAGATTCTTTTGAAAATAATAAATTTATAAAAACGGTAAACATATGAAGAAAGAATTACATTTTTTCCCTAAAATTTTAGTATAAAAACGCTAATTGCAGAAAAAATTTTCAATATATTGCAAAAATCCTATGTCCTTCGTCAAATTCTATAACAAAGAGTATTTTGTGAAAGTTTCAAATGAATCGGGTAGAAATTGTAGAAGTTATGAGCAATATCGTCTTTAAAAATGTTATTCTGAGAAAAACGCGTTTACAGTTTCCATTACCGATTGATGGCGATACCTTTCATTAAATCGGCTCTAATGGCACAAAACAATTTGCAATTTTTTAAACTATTTGAATTATATTTTTAAAAGTATAAATTATCGATTTAAGCAAGTGAAAAAAAACTGATTTTTTCAAATCTCAGAGGTGGTCAAGCCTCTTGATATCGAAAAGTAAACAATGAAATATCAAATAATTGTTATAAAATTTATTAAGTACGAGCAGATAAAGAATCTACCTGTTCTTGGCCCTATCCAAGGGATAGATATTTAAATCTGCCGCCTTGACAGCCGTATCTGTCCGCCAATTTCATCAATTCCGCGGATGGATCAAATCCAGGACTTAAGATGAAAACAACAGGCATTGTGGGTGTACTTTGTTCGAAAATTAATTTGAGACTGATATGAGGCGGTGTGATGTATTGTTCTCCCATGATTTGAGTGATGTAATTGATGATGGCTTGATATACTCGATCGACCCGAAAACAGCGTATCAACATAAGTTTCTCGAAGGATTCTAGCTTTTCAGAGTATTCCAAGGGGAAATTTTCAGATTCTGGAGTGTCCATGTCATACCACTAAGGAACTCAATGAAATTTGCAATTTGTTAGCTTTTGACGAACTTAAGGAGAAAATTAGCGATAATATTTTATGCGAAGCTATTTTCTTAGCGTTCAAAATTTCACGTTTGAAAGCATTTATTGACATCTGAAGTCTCACATTCGAGACAAATAATCGAATGGCTGAGAAGAATAAATACCCCACAATTTTTTTAAATAACATATGTAGCTGCTCATTTATTGAAATTATTTCAAAAATTTTCTAATAATATAGCTGCTCATTTATTGAAATTATTTTCAAATTGTCACTTGAGAATTGTTACTATTGTTCTGAAGGATAATTTCATAACAGAAAGTTTTTCGATTTTAATCATTACGTTAACTGTAAATCAATTTTTTCGATTTCTCGAAAATAATAAAACAAGATGCAGAATGTAATAAAATAATAAAATCTTTTCTTTCTTCTTCTTTCTTATTCAATTAATACTATACAAAATCTTATGTATTAATATTAATAATTGATTTTATGTTTATATCTCATATTTATAGTTATGTATCAATTTCCAAAAGTTTCGAACATATTGGCCTTCGAACATAATGAAAACAAATTCAAGTTCCACTTACAGCCTGCCACTCGTTCGTATGCATCTGCAAATCTTGACTCAGCTTCAACAAATCTGCCCACTCAGTAGCAGGCAGTCATTCAGTTGGATTAATCTTAGCTCCCTTCTCCAACATAATACACCCTTTGATGAAAAAATCCACCTGATTTTGGCTGATATTCCCAACGCTCTGTTCCAATTTCGTACAGATTTGAAACGAAAACAGCAATTTATGCCTCTCGAAGATTCCCGTGCAACCGCAATCGTAAACATTCTTCGTCAACATTGGTAGAATATTCTCTAGACGTTGTTTCAACGTTGGATCCGGAAGTGCTTTCCTCAGCGAATAAATGAACACTTCTACGTAGCTGATTAAAGAGTACTGATACATCGAATTCACCATCGCCGTGTCCGCTAGAACGAAGAACAAAATTGCACCTCTTTTAGCCACTGGTCGATAACCATCTCGAAGTTTGTTCACGTCAGCTGCTGTCACTTCAGCGAGGTATAATTTCTGCATCACCTCGGAGGCGCTTGATTTTGTGTTCTCCAGTGTTTCGATTAAATCGATGTTGTCCAACATATTGCCTTGATTTGTCACAATTTCACGAAGCAGACTGTCCTCTAGCTGTTGCAGCAGGTTTTTATTCTCGCTGGTCTCGGCGATTAGGCTCTCGCGTTGTTCCTCAACGTCTAATCTTTCTGTTAGTACCACTACTGATAGGAGTTGGTCTTCTAGATCCTGAAAAGGGATTCTTTGATAGTTGATAATTAGGTTGATAGTTGACATTCTGAAAGTTCTCGCGGTTTTAAACCTTGTGAGAAAACACGAGTTCATTGTAAATTAAACATTTTTATTTCAAATAATTTCCATAATGTTCGATATACTTTTGTCAATATAAATGTTACAAGACCATTAATTTCGCTTATATAAAAGTCTGAATCTCTAAGACAGGCATGGACAACCTTTCCTGGTCCTAGGGCCAAATTATCATTCTCTCTCCGAGTCAAGAGTCAAACTAAATGGGTTTTCGCGTGTGCTTTTATGTATCAATATATTAATACCCCTAATGTTGTTTGTGATTATGTGTTTGATACAACTTTGGCTAGATATTAAATAAAAAGGACTAGTATATGAAATAAAATTATAAATTTGAAACACGATACTGTCACATGCGTAACAGATGTCGCTTGGGTTGTTCGGCTGTACCGACGAGCCGAACAATACGTCCTAAAAAGCGAGGGCTTAGCCGGCACGAAAATTACTTTACGGCACCAAAAAACTCGACGCCTCTCACACCTGAACACCACATGACCTAAGATAATAAACAGACCTTCGACATCACCAAGCAATATAACAAATGTAAGAACAAATTCCCCACTTTCACACCAGCACCAGACACACTCCAAACACACCCCAAACACACCGAAAAAACCAATCACCACACACTTCCACCACCTACGACAGCTTCACACCACCAATCACAACACACACGCAGTTTATAAAATAGCGAACACCACACGACACGATACACAATTTTCCGATCAGTAAACTTAGACATTTCGCGCTCTGTTCACGTTCATTCACAAATACATAGTTTTAATAGCAAACTGTTGTGCGTTAATAGTCAATCTTCTGAACACTACCTGAGTCCCCTATCCCAAGTAGATTCCTTAAATGGTCTGATTCAAAAAGAGGGACAAATATCTCTTTCGCAACAAGCACATTGCGATTCGTAACAATACTAATCAGTACCTATACAGGGTGTTTCCGAAAATGTGGGCATAACTTCGGGGATAGATTCAGTACGCTAAAATAAGAAAAAAAATTCATATGAACATATGCCCGATATGACCTATGGCCGAATTTAAAAACTTCGCGGGAACGGATCGCGGGCCATATTCGGCCCGCGGGTCGCAAGTTGCCCACATGT